GTTTCTCAACAGAAACTTTGCAGGACAGAAGGGAGTGGCAGGAAATATTCCAGTGATGAAACACAAGGACATACAACCAAGATTGCTCTACCCAGCAAAGCTGTCATTTAGAATTGAAGGACAGATAAAGAGCTTTCCAGAGAGGAAAAAGCTGAAGGAGTTCACCACCACCAAAGGAGTATTACAAGGAATCTTAGAGGAGCTTCTTTAACATGGGATGGGGGTTAAGGATGGGTGAAATGGGAAGGGATTAAGAAGTACAAATTGGTTGTTATACAGTAGTCATGGGGATGTAGGGTATAGCATAAGGAATATAGTCAATAATATTGTAATAACTAGGTATGGTGTCAGAAAGGTGCTAGATCTATCAGGGTAATAGATGGGAATGGGGTTTGGCAGCAGGATCAAAAAGGTGAAGGCATTAAGAAATACAAACTGATAGTTAATACAGTATGGGGAATATAATCAACAGTGTTGTAAAGATCATGTAAGGTGCCAGATGGGCACTGGACTTATCAGGGGGATCACGTCATGGGCTGTGTAGATATCTGACCAATGCGCTATACACCTGAAGAGCTGAGGTAGGATAATATTGAATGTCAACTATAACTAAATATATAGGTATATATAGTTACGGGATGTGGAGTACAGCATGGGGAGGGTAGTCAATGGTATTGTAATGCTATATAAGATGTCGGGGCGGGGTAGTGGCTGGGGGGGGGTCATCACTTTGTGAGGGGATTAATGTCTAACTATTACGTTGCTTTGTACACCTGAAACTAATAAAAATAAATAAATATTTAAAAAATGGGGTCAGGGACAGCCCCCGATAAGATGCTGGCTGACTGTGGGAGAAAGTCATGGTGGATTGCAGGCAGGAACACAACAGGCAGAAGGAACAATGAATGCAGAGGCCCTGAGGCAAGAGAAGCTGGTACAGTTTGAGGGGCAGTGAGGAGGCCAGCATGGCCAGAGTTGGAAGGAAAACAGGGATAGTTGGAGAGGATACAATCTGAGGTTGGGGATGCCAGGTTCTGGAGGGCCCTGTCGGCCATAGTAAGGAACTGGGATGTCACCCTAAGTGTGAGGGTTTTGAGTGTGGGAGTACAGTGATCTGATGGAAGATTCTGAGTCTTATGTCCCCAGTCCCTAGCACAGGACCCAGTGAGCTTGTTGAACAAATGAATAAAAGCCTCCTATTGTGAGCAGAGAATAGGTACAGGCACTGGGCAGACAGGGTTCCTTCCCTCCAGGGGCTCAATTTCATCAGGAAAGATACTACCACCAGCTGTAATGAACATACAATGGACAATAAGTTCACCAATTCATCCTAGAAAAAGTGCTACATATCTCATTGCTGAATATCACTATGGTCACCTTTGAAGTACTCCCCTTGGGAAGCTATGCACTGATGCCAGCACCTAGTCTACCCTTCAAAGCAATTTTGGAACTCTTTTTCTGGAATGGCCATCAGAGCTGTCGTCGTATTATCCTTGATGGCCTGAATGTCATCAAAATGTCTTCCTTTCAATATTTCCTTTATCTTCAGGTAAAGAAAGAAGTCATTGGGGGCCAGATCAGGTGAGTAGGGAGGGTGTTCCAATACAGTTATTTGTTTACTGGCTAAAAACTCCCTCCTAGACAGTGCTGTGTGAGCTGGTGCATTGTTGTGATGCAAGAGTCATGAACTGTTGGTGAAAAGTTCAGGCTGTCTAACTTTTTCATGCAGACTTTTCAGCACTTCCAAATAGTAAACTTGGTTAAGTGTTTGTGCAGTTGGTGCAAATTCATAACGAATAATCCCTCTGATATCAAAAAAGGTTAGCAACATTTTTGCAACAAGTTTGTGAACTTAATTGTCTGACCTCATACATTATTTTAATGAGGGAAAGGATGGAAAGAAATGGGGACCCTGAGCTGCAGATGCTCTCATGTCAGAGGCCCTGAGAAGTCCCACAGGAAAGATTCCCAACCCATTTAAGTGGGTTTATCCCTTCATTTCCAAACATTATTTGATTAAGAAACTTTGTTGGAGTATGGATCATTTATTTAATTTCACAAAATACAATTTCAGATAAACAAAAGGAGGGATCAGTATAGAAACGCAGTCATTAGGAACTTCTTAGCTGCTTGTACTTGTCTGCCCAAGGCTGGAAGACGGAATCCAGGAGCTTGGGGCCACTAGGGTTAGAGATTATGATGCTGGTATAACTTAGCATGTAGGGCTTGGGCACATGGCTGGGCCTCGGGTCTGGGTTCAGGTGTGAGGGGAGCAGTCTCAGCCTGAAGCCAAGGCCCTGGGTCTGGGGAGGCATCCTCACGCCTCAACCCATTTCTGTCTGGCTCCATTGGTATCAGCTCTCAATGACTTTGATGTAGCACTTGGTCTTAGTAGCAATCCAGCCTGCTGACCACTTCTTCCTTATTGGAGCCTTCTCTGCCACACTGGCTCCTGGACACCAACCTCTTCATTTCCTTCCTATAGCTTTGGCCGACTGACTGGTTGATGGGTTGATTGATTGCTTGACTCATTCATTCAGACAAGTATCTCTGAACACATGCTATGTGCCAGAGCCTGTCGTGGGCTCTGGATCTACTCTAGCAGATAAAACAAACATGCTTCTGCCCAGTGAAGTTTAGTGGAGTCAGTGAAGCAAAGAAATATAAATACATTATATAAAATTTCAGTGTGACATAGGAAGGAATCAAATGGGGCAGCGATAGAGACAGCACAGGGATGTGCACAGACTGGCGCTCATGAGATGCTTTTGAGGAGGTGCAGTTAAACCGAGACCAAAATGATGAGAGGTGCAGTCTTGTCACAAGCTCCTGTCGAGTCTCCTAATCACTGGTGGCCCCCAAGGCTGACTCTTCAGCTCTCTGCACTTCTCAGGGAAGGCAGCGACTTCCATTGCTTCAGTAACTATCTGCTACAACCTGATGTCTCCCAGCTGCATTTCTTCAGCCCACACCTCTCTTGACTTCTTCCTCGTATGTATATCTATTGCCTTCTTAAGCATCTCCACCCAGATATTTCCAGACATCTCAAACTGATGTCTAAACAAAATACATGATTTCTATCCTCCCCCCTAAACAAAAGGAAACAAAATTCAAAGCTAAACCACGTGGTCCTCTCCCCTATGCTCCCATGTTGGTGACTGGCCCCGCTGTCCATCCACTGTGCCCCCCAGATACTCACGGGAAACCCCCCCACATACCTCCTCCTTTACACTGTTTCCAATCCTTCAGCAGATCTTGCCAACTACATACTGCTCCTACACCCATCTGCTTTTCTCCATCTCGAGTGCCACCACCTTAATACTAGCAATAATTTTGCCCACCTAGGCTTTTTCAGTGGTTTCCTTGCTGTCCTCCCCCATTCACTCTTGATCTGCTGATTCTTTCTCCTCACTACAGAGTGACTGATTCAAAATGCAAATCTGATCATCTCATCCCCTTGCTCATCCCCACTGTTAAAATCTTTCAGTGGTTTCTTGTGGGTCTTTGAATAAAGGTCAAGCTTTCTAACATGGTCTATAAGATCGTGCATCATCTGGCTCCCGCCTACCTCTCCAGCCTCCATCTCACAACTCTGTGCTCTTCATACACAATGATCGTTTTTCATCTCCTTAAATGTACCTGTCTCCAGCATCCCCGAATGCCATCGCCTCTTTTACCTGCTTAATTCCTATTTATCCTCCAGATCTCAGCTCAAATGTCACTTCCCAGTAAAAGCTATCCTGGAAATCCTAATCTGAATGAAATTCCTTTGATATACTCTCATGGTACCATGTTCCTTGTTATAGCACTTATATGGGTTTATAATTCAACATAAATGTGAAATATCTGATTCATGTCTCTCTTCAATAAAATGTTAAGTTCTGTGAAAACTGCACTATACTTATTCTTCCTTCTCTTGCTTCTTCTTCCATCTCGCCCCGACATGTGAACATTTCCTAAGATATGGTGGTCCCTTTTTTTTTTTTTTTCCTTAGCTGAGCCATCCTGCCACCTGTTGGCAGCTCAGCGGCAGCTCAGCTCGGGCTGGACTTGAGCCACTGTTGCTCAGAGCTCAAACCCTAGAGCGAGCTCTTAACCAACTGAGCCACTCAGCCGGCCCCAATATGGTGGTCTCTTTTCACTCCACACCCTTTTGACCACAGAGATCTACTTACTTCATAACTTCAAAGCATTTATCCTCAACCTCAATCTCTCCAAAGAGCCAGCTAGGCATCTCCAAGTAGACCAGTGGTTTTGCAACAGCTTGATTGCAACCACAGTTGGAACATTTCATTTGGCAACTTACTGCGTACACACACATAACAAATAATTTTCATGAAATAATACTGTCGTTCTATTTTTTCCCTATTTGATTGACTTGTAAAATATTTTAGTTTTCACATAATTTCAAGACCCACTAATGGGTCATGACCTGCAGTTTAAAAACACACCATGTGAACACACTGTACCAAATATTTCCACACGGACATTTCTCTACAACGCCAAACATATCTATTTCCCAACTCATTTCTCAACCAGACTTCCTTACTAGAGAACATAATCATTCTCTTTGTCACTTAGGATCAACACGTTACAGTCATTTTGGAATCCTCCTCACCCAACAGTTGTTAAAACTTACTGGTTCTTACACTGCAGTGTGTCACAACCCAGTCCATGCTTTCCACTCCTGCCGGTGTAGTTCAGATTTTACTGTAATTTAGAACACTGCAATAGCCTTTTTAACTGGCTCCCTACTTCCAGAATTTCCAAGTAGAGGTGACATATGTTTGAATCACAAACATCAGGGCAGGAAGCTAATTCAGCTTTTCAGTTCCATTTTGACCAACAAAGTAGTATTTAAGGGATTGAAATGAATGTGCCTTCATCTGCTCACCAAACTCCTTGACAAACTTCATTTTAATTCAGGCTGGCTACCGTTTTTATAAATTCCTATTACAGAAACCAGACTCTGGCTTTGAGGCAACGGCAGGCAGACTCACCCATGTCGGCAGTGACCATGGTGGACTGGTTTTCGGGGATGGAGACGGAGGTCTGGTCTTGGTCCATGCTTCGCGAGTCCTCATTGACCTCCTGCTGACTCTGGCTGAGTTCTGATCGAAGCTCTGAGTACTCATCCTCCTCCCTGAGAAAAAAGGAGAGTCAGCCACTACTTACAGAGATGTAACACAAGTCCCTAGAGACTATGTCTTTTAAGGCCAAGAAAAAAAGACATGAAGAGAGAAAACGGACACCCTGGCCATTTGGACCAGGATTCCTTCAGGCCAAATAGATGGCCACATCTATGGTCAGCGTGAAACTGAAAGGTTGCTTCTGTGCCCACACACATACCCATGTGGATTCATCTGTCAGCCTGCTAGGAACTTTTCCCCTTCAAAGATTTCCTGAAGAAATTATTAGATTTCTTCACTCCCTCAAATTCCAAGGTGAAAAAGAACTAAGATGCAACAGTGAGCAAGAGTCTGGTGAACAGAAACAGCATGTCCCGTGGCCTGCAGGGTACCACTGGTGGGCTTTCTTCTTGGAAGAGGACATAAGGAGGTACTGAGGCTGGAGGTCCTGGGGCTGGAGCTACCGGAAAGCCAATACCTCGTCTGTGCAGAACAATATAGATGCCTTGAGAGGTATGTGGATCAGCAAGTCTCAAAAATATCACACTTAATTTCCCCAAAGAAAGTTAATAGGTGGAGTTAGAGAAAAGGGAAAGGATGGAGTGAGGAGGAAAATGGAAATAATGAGTGAGAGACTACCACTCAAGGGTCTATTTCCTTCTGTTTGCATTTGTTAACAGGAAGGCCACATTTACATGCAATTATATTTCATTTGCTCAAGAACACCCACCCCTTCCCAGCCCTTCATGGGATCCTTCAACCTCCTGGTCTCTGAATTAGTTATGAGTAAGCGAAGAAAACTTAACATTGTAGAATGTATTTCAAAGCACACACAGACTTCCTCCCCCATACCACCATCGTCATTACACACACTGGACTCAGACATGGAGAGAGCAAAATTAACCCTCTTTGAAGCATTTATTTTGCAAGTGAGCCAGAAAGAAAATTGTCATGGGGTTTAATTACGAGGTTGGAAAGCCCACAGGTGTCTGCTCAGCCCCAGGGGGAGGGTGTTTGTGAAGAAAGATAGAAAAGAGAAGAAATCCTCAGTCTGGTATTCACTTTAAGTTTTTGACCTCTCTCTCTCTCTCTCTCTCTCTGTGTCTCTCTGTGTCTCTCTCTCTCCCCCCTCTTCCCTTCTTCACTCCCTCCCTCCCTCCCCCCAGAAAGCCTACAGTCTTGGGTTTTGGGTAGACTAAGATGGTGAGAGGTGATCACTGGAACTTGGGGAAGAGGAAACTGCCATTTTAAGGTGGGAGACACATTTGATAAGTTTAGAGAAATGTGAAAAACTCTGAAGAGTTCTTAGTTCTCTCAAGACATCAATACCCTCCCCAGGAAGAGATTCAGCCGAGTCCCTGCTTTATAAGTTATTTTTTAATAAGAGCCACCCAAATCTGGGCAAACTTGAAACAGATATAAAGCCCCCCAGACATGCAAAATGTGAAATAGATTGGGAGTGAAGGCAAAAAATATATAGGTTCATGTTCTAAGAATAAGTTAACTATTAGACACCTGCAAAGCTGACAGTAATTAGGTTTAGAATATTGAAAAAATGAAAGAGTACCCTTAAGAGTTGCCTTTTTGGTCTAGAGGGTAATTGTGTTCTGATACATCAGCTTTCCTTTCAATCAGCAGTTAAAACTCTGATTTCCGTTAATGGGAGATTTTGTGTATGATGAATAAATTACCTTTGTTGCATGGCCAATGTAATCAGCTTTGGCTTGGCTGAGCCTGGTTTACAGCCAAGAAAGCCATATAAATGTTGCTGCTGTGTCTCTCATATGAATGGCATTTCAAAGAAAAAAATCTTTAAAAGTCACCTGAAACCCCCCTGGCCTGGCAGGTTCCAAAACATATAGTGCCTGCCAAATCTTCTGCTTCGTAAGAAATTACTTCTAGAGATTATTAGGATGAACTTCATAAAGGAGTGCACAGGGAAGGGGTGGGGGAAGGCAGCACTGGTTGCCGGGGATATTCCTTCCTGAGGTCAGGAGCACAGTGTGAGAATTCTACCACACGAGAGATGTCACCTGAGCCAGAAAGAAGGCTTTCGGTGTCATGAAATGCACACTAAGGATCCTCAGTCGATGTTTCCAAGCACCAAAACAAGGAGTGGAAAGCCAAGACCAGATGGGTGCTGTCTTCCGGGAGGCAAATATGTTCACAACGAATTCTATCCTAAGAAGGATGCCGTGTCGGACATGGGAGGGGCAGGCTGGGCTGCAGGTGGGCAGTGACCTGGGAAGACTTCCTGGATGGAGCAGCACTTCAGATGAGTCTCAAGGCAAGCGGACTTGAGATAGGTCATGAGGGTGGGAGGGCACATGCAAAGGCTCAGAGGAGCCTGTGAATGTGACTATGTGGAGGCCGGAAGAGGAATAAGTGGTTCCATGTGGCTGAAACCCAAATGGGGTGCAGGATGGATGCGTGAGGCTGGGGGGGGAGGGGCACTCAGGCCACTTGTTGCGTGGGCAATTTTGATCAAAAGAAGAATTTATTATAGTGAAGGAGGCACGGAATCAGGGTTAGATGGTAGAAATAAAGATAAAATGTGGGGAGGTCTAGGAATTCAGGGCAAGGAGTAAATGTTGCTGAGATCTTGTATGGGAGCAGATAAAATAAGCAGGAGGGCAGCACAGAAGGTCTGTATTCTTGACCCCACAGGATAAAATAAGCAGGAGGGGCTGAGCACACAGGATCCCTGGCTCAGGCTTCTCCTATGGTAATCATAATGAGTATTACAGCACCCAGAGCAGCAAGCAGCCTTGTGAGCAGATCAGGCAGGGTGTTGTGTCACACAGAATGAGGGAGAGAAAGGTTAAACCAAGCCTAAATATTAGAAAGTGGGTGCAACCCTGTTGTTTCTCCCAATGACTTTGTGAAAAAACTCATGAGTTGCCTATCCTTCCCTCCTGAACATCATTATTGGCATCATTAGGAATGTGGGACTGAGAAATGGCAAAAGCCAATTCTCTCTCAGGGCCCTTTGTAAACTGACATTCCATTTGGGATCGTAGGAGACTGGTGAGAGGGAGTTTTCTCTCTTTATTATGTTATTGAGGAGAGTTAGCCCATGAAGAGCAATGGAATGAGAAGCCAAAAGCACTCTACCATAGGTCCATGGCGGCTTTACAAAGGCGTGAATCTGAGGTGTGTTTTCGGGGCTGTTCTGTGTAGCAGTGAGTGGCCAAGCTGCTAAGGTGACTATCTAATGTCACAGCATCAACATCTCAAAGTGACTTTATTGTTTTCCTCCTTCTGTTGTATATATCGTAACTCTTGGCAAGTGATAGCTTACTTCTTTGGGGGGAAAATGCCTCCCAAAAGAACACCAACTGTTAGCGTGGTGATGAAAAGGGAGAAAACATAACAAGGTCCAAGAAGTAAGTGATCATTTTAAGCCAAAAAAACAGATGCTCTGATAAACTGATAAATGTTGATAATTACACACTATTGTGGTAGTTTCGTACTAATGGAATTACAAAGTTCTTGGGTGCTTCTCTTTGTAACATAAAAGATCATCATGCAGGGTTCTAAATGTACATTATTTTGTTCACTTAGAAACATTTGTGAAGTGCTTCCCAGTTGATTTATAGTTGCAATGATTAATATTTGCTACTAGCTTAAGCAACAGAACAAAATAAAAACAGTCCTTTGTGAGGGGTGTACATGTCTAACTATTACATTGTTTTGTACACCTGAAAGTAAAATTAATTAATTAATTACTCCCCCGCTCCAAAAAAAAAAACCAACCCAGTCCTAAGGAGGCAGGCCTTAGGTTGTACACACACCTAGATAACCAGCAATGGCAGAAAAGTCACAGGCTGGCAGACGGGAGGGCATTGTAGCGCCCATTATTTATTTTAGAAATAAGACAACTGAAGCTTTAAGAGGTGAAGCCACTTACCCAAGATTAGGCAACTAGTTAGCAGTACAGCCTAATTCCTAAGTTTAGTACTAATGAAACAACATTCTAATATGGTAACTGAAGGAAAAACTTTTTTGTTGCTGTTTATTTCTAAAGATTCCTTCTCATTATTGGCTAGGGGTGAAATGATCTTACCAGAAAAGGGAAAAGTCAATGAAAGTATAATTCTTATCATGCTTTCCAGACTTCAAGCTGAAGTACTGTGAAATCAGCAGCATTTGATGACAATATTACTTCATTAGCAATGCCTACATCTATTTTATTTTGGGGGTGTGCATTCATGCCTTGTCACTGGATTGGAGTGATTTGTGAACTAGACCCAGACGGACATCTGCCTGTCATGGCAACTGTCACTTAACTATGTCCAGCTAACCCCTGTGGGCTTTTGAACCACATTCTGTTTTTCTTACAATTAAAGGCAGACTTGCCCTGAAATGGCCACGATTCTTTTAAAGAACAAAGATTTTTTTTTTTAAATATAAGGAGGAAATGTATTCCTTTCAGTTCTCTCAAAGGATCTATAGCAGGATATAAGTGAAGAGTAAAGTCATGATTCTTTCTCCAATTCTGCCTCTTCTTATTTTTCCGTACAGCATAGCAGAAGCTCAGACTCATCTATGAATCTTTGGTGAATAACTGAACCCATGGGATTTTGAAATGCTCTCCTACATATATAGTAATCCACCCTTATCACTGAGTACCAGTTTTAACAATATTTAATGATTTAGGATCTGTAGTCAAGAACTTCTGAATAGTAAACAATGGTTTAATATACACCACATAGGAAGACAGGGAGAGAAAAGTCTGTCTTATTTCTCTGGGGTTCATTTTTATTTCATTATGTTTTACCTTTTAGGCCAGGATTTAATCAAAACAACATGTTTTGCCAGGAGATAACAAGGTTTGGTTTACACTGTTTGAGATGCCGCAACATGAAGCTAGACAGACAGACATAGTACACAGGTCAAAGGGTGGGCTGAAAGGCCAGGACCAAGGCTATGTTCATGGTGCAGACCTGAGCTCTTAGCGATCGGATTATGTTAGAGTAAACAGAGGCTCTGCATAAGTATCTCAGTCGCCAAA